TAGATAGCATGATATTGGAATATGGATTTTTGTGTAAAAGGAAATTACCCCAGAGTAAAGTCTGTGTGATCATGAGATGTGAAGAACAATGGAAAATATGGCCAATTGCTAGTTTCAGTTTCTTTGTAAAATTGCAGTGTATGTACCTGGATTGGCTTAGCTTCTTCAAGAATGTAGGAGAAATGAAATCCTAATAAGTTTGGCTTCCTGTACACTGGCTCTTTCCATGTCCAAATATTAACTTAGCATCTGCTCTTTGGAAGGCTCTTGGCTAGTACTGGAGATGCTAAGAAAAGTAGACCCTACCTGCGCTGCCCATAGAATTTTAGAGTCTAAGACAGCCGTGGGCAAACTACGGCCCTCGGGCCAGATCCGGCCCGTTTGAAATGAATAAAACTAAAAAAAAAAAAAAAAAAAAAGACCGTACCCTTGTATGTAATGATGTTTACTTTGAATTTATATTAGTTCACACAAAGATTCCATCCATGCTTTTGTTCCAGCCCACCGGTCCAGTTTAAGAACCCATTGTGGCCCTTGAGGCAAAAAGTTTGCCCACCCCTGGTCTAAGAGCAGCTTTCTTATAATGTAGGTGGTGAGATACTCCTAATGTACACAGACCAGTGAAATTAAGGGGTCAGAAGTGGGGCGGGAGGCTCCAGATGAGGAGTCTAGTGGAGAATCTGTGAGGCGAGGGAGGCAGTTAGAGACTTGGGGAAAGTGAAAGTTGGGCAGTGGGAGGGAATCTTAAGGTCACAGCATGGTGGGCACGGACCACACCCTCAGACTGTGGGTCTCAGAGCTGAGAGACTTGCACCTGGACTGGAAGATGACTGTTACAGTTACTTTGGAATGATGAGTGACCCCGAGAGGATCTCCACCTGGGACAGCGTTGGGATGCATCCCGTGCTCCTGTCCCAGTGCAGGTGAGCAAAGTGCACAGAGTGGGTGTTTGATGCCCATCACCTTCAGGGAATTTCTGAGGAAAAAAACACCATAATCCATGACTGGAAACTTGGCAGCTATTGGGCTGTTGCTTTTTGTGTGGGTTAGAGAGTCAGAACCCATTCTATTAAAATGACATTCAACATCTTTGGTTATTGTTGTTGTTGTAACTTGGCAAACTCTAAGAGAGATGTAATGATTTAATGGGTTGGAGGGGGATTTACTTAGAGTTTCTTTGTAAATAGATATTGGACAGATTTGGAGTTCCATGTCCTAGATGGACACATATTCTCTAATATTTCATGGATATTTTTTAAAAAGGCTTTAAGGTAAGTGGTATATTGAAGGGTTGAAATCATCCTAATCATAAACATATCAGGCATTGTGAAAAATCTCAATGCATTCCAGGCACTGTGCCAGGCGCTAATCATACATTCCCCCCAATCCACCAGCCCTACAAGACAGGGCTTAGCAAAGCCCCTTCATAAATGCAGAACCGGAGGCTCACAGAGTTCGCTGATGTACCTGAGTTCACACAGCTAGTAAGTGACAGAGCTGGGACCAGAACCCCTGGTCTGGATTTGTCCAAAGCTCACAGGGGCGCGCTCCTTGCAGCTGACCATGAGTCAGCTAATCCACTTTTCTCTACTGCTCCAAAATGTATCTCAAGTGATCAAAAGAAGGACCCAGGGACCAAAAGAGTTGATTGAGTGACATAACCAGAAAAATAAAAATCAGAAATGAGTAAGACTTGAGTAAAAGCGATGAGATCATAGCGAGTGACAATATGATCATTGACCTGTGTGAAACCAGATGCCCTCAGAAGCCCAGTCAGGACTCACAAACATCGGGCTCTATCCCCCCTTCATAGAAAGTGAATCCTTTGCAAGTTCCCTAAGTCTGGCTGCTGAAGAGAAAGAATGTATCAGCTTTCTTTCCCCTGACAACCGTTGCCTAGTCTTACATCAGTCACAAAACAGGGTCCATTTTCTGCAGGATTTGCAACAGGGAAATTGCTCAAGGGTTTGCAGGGAGGTGACATTTCCCAGGAAGCCTATAAGCAACAGACAGAAGCCAAGACAAGGACTCCCGTGAAAGAGGGCTGAGGAACCAATCACGCCACAATATAGGGGCCCAGCAAAAACCCAGGAGGGTGGGCTCCGTGCAGTAGGAGTCCAAGGCGCTGACAGACATGGTGAAGGCTGCCGGTGAGGAGCAGCAGCAGGACTCAGCCAGGACAGTAAGGTCCTGGAGACGCGTCCCTGCTGGCTCTTCCTGGAGGCCCGGAAGGGCCATGATCACGTGGTAAACCCTGACTCCAACCGGGAATTCTCAGCGAGAGGCATTGCGGAGTAAGCCGAGCAGTGTCAGAAAGAGGAGGGCGGAGTGACCGGACGGGCCATCGCTCACAGTGAGGGCCCTGGTGTGGACTAAGGGTAGCCCCACAACGGAGAGGAGGTCTCACAAAATCTCCTCTGCTGTCCTCGCAGTGGAGCCCCTGGCGGGCATGTCAGGCTGAGTAGAGGCTGGGAGGCCTCAGGACATCAGGGCCTCTGACTAACGCACATTTTCCATTTTGCAGAGGGAGGGAATGTGACTTTAAGAAGAATGCAACTATGGGAAGGTCCTGAGTGGTGTGAGGGCACCCCCAAACTTGAAGGGGCCAGAGAATCCAGCACTGAGCTTAGCCCTGGAAAACGCAGAAGAGCAGGAATCCACGCATTCCAGCTGTGTATTCTCGGGGAGGGACCCAAGGCCAGGTGTGCAGAGACAGGAAGCTTGTACATCACACAACAGCCTCACACGAGAACATGCAGTGCTAAGCGAGAGTATGTTTCTCTCAAAGGGAGGCTCCCACAGCACCGCCCCCTTCCAGCCTGGGAGACCTAGGACCCCACTTCAGAGGAAGGGCATCCTCACTGCCTGCCTCACTGGGTCTCAGGGGAGGGCAGACTTTGTGGGCGCCAGACCCACTTGTTTCAGTAGAGGGAGGCGTCCAAGATCTGCAGACATAAAAGTGGGGATCCTGAGTGAGGACCTGGTGCCCAAGGACCCTAATCCTTCAGGCATCCGGCATCAGGCGCGCCCTGGACAGCCCCACGGGAAAGGACCCACCAACTTCTACTCGGGCGTTGAGGACCTTCCAGCCATTATTCCTGCCTAGAGGTTGGCTGAGGACGGCTTCGAAGGACTGGCCTGGCGTCAAGGTGGGAACCTCGGAAGCCCCACACCCCAAAACAAAGGCAGGCCCCCCACCCCTCCCCTGCTAAGCCCCGACAGGCCCCAGCACAGCCCTGAGACTGCGGCCTGGAAAGTATTGGGGGAAGGTCTTGGGAGGGAGTAGGCCCGACCCTACTGAAGGAGGACCCCTGGGCCCCAAAGGGATTCAAGATGGAGGCCGGGTGCTTCAGAGCAACCCTCTCTCGGTGACAGGGCCGCGCAGGGCAGCAGCCCCTGTACTCAGCTCTCGGGACCGTCCGGCCAAGGAAATAGATAAAGAACGACCCGGCCTCCTCTCGAGCGGCCACCCCGCCAAACTCAGCCAAGGCTGCCGGGAGCAGAGCGGGCAGGCCGCGGTGACCCTTACTCCTCCGGTGGTGTCTCAGAGAGGCCAGGGCCTTGGGGTAGTGGAGGAGGGTACAAAGAGGGCCCCGTCTCTACCAGGGTTCAGGACTGTTACACTGAGGGAGGCTGTGGGAGTCACCCCTGGGAGGCTAGGGCTCGTCGCCATGATGAGTTGACTCACTTCCTCCCAGGCCATCTCGGGGAGGTGACAGATCCGGTCAAAGGGGCAACTGCAGGTCAGCGGAGGGAGGATTTCGTGTTGTGCCAGGTTTCAGGGACAGACCATTGAGGACTGTGGGCATGTGCCACCCTGTGCCAGTGGGGCCACAAGGAATCCTCCCTGCCTTAGCCAGTGTGCCTCCGGCTTAGATGGTCGGCCTGCACAAGGCTCCTGGAGCCGGTCATCGGTCATAGGCAGGTACCTAGGTGGAAGGTGGATCTCTTGCCTGGTTTGGTTCATGAGGGAACAACCAATTGAGGTGTTGCACTCATGTCTCTCTCTCTCTCTCTCTCTCTCTCCTTTTCTTCCACTCTCTCAAACAAACAGAAAACTTGGTCAAGGGAATTAAAGATGGAAAGAAGTTGGCTGTTTGTTTTTTTCTGGTGTACTAGTAGGTAGGGGTAAAGATGAGAAAGATGTGTAAGGTAATAAACATATTAACCAGTGGAAAAATAAATACATACATACATACATACATACATACAAAAAAAAATATGTGATAACTATCCTCCAGTGAGGATTAACAAAACAATCAAAACAAGAATCCTGTCTATTTTCAGCGCTGGTGCACCTCAAGGATAGATGTGAGGCAGGAGTGCCCATCTGCCCTTACTCAGGGTTAACAGTGAAATTAGTGCCTTGGTCTGAGGGGATGAGGGGAGTGGTACCAGGCCAGCAGAGGGAGAAATCATGACCTCAGCATGAGTCCATTTGAGACCTCAGAATTGGGTCCTGTGTGGCTTGACTGACAACTGGGGATCCAAATGAACTCATGACATAAAGGACCCCAACAAATTCTCAGCACTAGGTTTCCCCTGATGGGAAGGTGAACTAAAGTTTCTCTCCAGTTCTTTCTCCTGGGGCCCAGGGAGCATTTTGGTGGCAGCATTAGAGCAGCAGAGGGTAGGTTGTCTAGGCCCTTCCCATTGGTGCGGTAATACTGAGGATAAAGAGGGATGATGCCACATGCCAGAACAAGGGGGGCTACACTGAAATCACCTACTGTCACAAGAGTAAATTCAAGGCAGGGCTGATAGCACATAGTGTGGATTTGACTCTAAAATTTATCTGGTTTCTCAGTGGGATTTTTAAGGGCCAGACCAGGAAAACAGGAGACTTGTGGGATCCTAGAGTAGTGCCCTCAATGAAGCCTGAAGAGGCACCCTTCAGGAAATGCAAGGTGAAATCTTCCTGTTAACGGTGCTCAAGTTACCTTATTCCCCACCCACTAGGTGCCCAAATCACGTGACTGCTGTCCTAAACAAGAGCCATCATGCCTCGTGGTCATAAGAGTAAGCTCCGTGCTCAGGAGAAACGCCGCCAAAACAGAGCTGAGAAACAAAGTGATAAGAGTGCTCAAGTCGCTGCAGAAGAGGAAGGAGAGGCCGCTTGCTCCTCCTCTTCCGTTTTGGGGGACGCTCCCTCAAGCTCCACTGGTGCTGGCACTCTCCAGGCACCTCAGAGTGCCCCAGCCGCCACCAGTGCTGCTGCAGGAGCTTCAGGTGAAAGATCTGCTATAAAAGCCAAAGGCCAGGTTCAGGAAAATAAAAAATCTCCCCAGGCCTCAACTGCCCCTGGTGCTGGCACTCTCCAGGCACCTCAGGGTGCCCCAGCCACCACCAGTGGCGCTGCAGCTGCCTCATGTGAAATACCTGCTGTAAAAGCCAAAGGCCATGTTAGGAAAAGTAAAAGTTCCTCCAGGGCCTCAATTTCCACTAAGAATGCTGGCCAAGATCTTATAAATCAAAAGGCAATTATGTTAGTAGAGTACCTGCTGTATCAATATAAAAAGAATGATCTCATTAAAAAGGAAGACATGCTGAAGATCATCCACAAGTGGTTCAGGAAGGACTTCCCTGAGATCCTCGGGAGAGCCTCTGAGCGCATGGATCGGTTCTTCGGCCTGCAAGTGAAAGAAGTGAAGCCCAACAGTAATTCCTACACCCTTGTCGACAGTGAAGATGAGAGTCTGAGCAGCGGCTTCAGATTTCCTACCAAAGGGATTCTGATGCCTGTCCTGGGTGTCATCTCCTTGAATGGCAACAGCGCCACTGAGGAGGAGATCTGGAAATTCCTGAATATGATGAGTGTCTATGATGGAAAGAGTCACTTCATTTTTGGGGAGCCCAGGAAGCTTATCACCCAAGATTTGGTGCAGGAAAAATACCTGGTGTACCAGCTGGTGCCCAACAGTGATCCTCCACGCTATGAGTTCCTGTGGGGTCCTAGAGCCCACGCTGAGACCAGCAAGATGAAAGTCCTCGAGGTTTTAGCCGATCTCAGTGATACCCTGCCCACTGCCTACTCACCCCATTATGAAGAGGCTTTGCAAGATGAGGAAGAGAGAAAGCAAGCCAGAGCCCAAGCTGCAACCAGGGATGCCACTCCTCCCAAGGCCAGTGGTGGCTCCAGTGTAAAGCTTAAGGCTCCTAAGGTTTGAGCTTGATAACATATCCAACTGCTGCCCACACTCTGAGTGAACTCGAGGTGGAGTCTTCAGTTTTTGGATGAAAGGCCTGTTAAGCAGTTTCCTAATATGCAAAATATCTTGTTGGCTTATCTTTGTTTGTTTTGGGGGTTTTTGCATTTTCAAGTGGTGTTCTTTTAGACAAGGTGTGGGGAACCTTTTTTCTGCCATGTGCAGCTTGGGTATTTAGAACATTATTCGTGAGTCATACAAAATCATCAACTTTAAAAATAGCCTTCTGGTTTTGGTCAAACATTTAACTAACTCACTGCTAATGCCTTGGCAGGATCAGGTCAAATCATTTTGAGAGCGTATGTGAACCACAGGCTGGAAGTTTCGTACCCCTGTTTTAGACAGAATGTTTATTTAGATCTAAAACATAAGAATAGAAGTTTATGAATGACACTGATTGCACATTTATTACTGTCTGTCTAGTTAGGAGTAAGAGTTTTGTTTTAAAAATAGAAATTGGAAGTCCTTCAAAATGTTGTGTGATCCAGAACAGGATAGTATTGCTTTTGGATAGAAATATATTTTAAGATGTGAACGAACTGTACACTAAAATACGTGGGAGCAGTAGATAGATATATAGGAGGATAGATAAAGTAAAAATTGGCCACTTCTGTTTAAATTTGTCATAAATTACACTTGACAACAATATTATATTAGCTGGTTTGGCTCAGTGGATAGAGCGTCGGCCTGCGGACTGAAGGGTCCCAGGTTCGATTCCGGTCAAGGGCATGTACCTGGGTTGCGGGCACATCCCCAGTAGGGGGCGTGCAAGAGGCAGCTGAATTGATGTTTCTCTCTCATTGATGTTTTTAACTCTCTATCCCTCTCCCTCCCTTCCTCTCTGTAAAAAATCAATAAAATATATTTTTAAAAATATTATATTAGTGGCATATGTGCAGCATAGTGATAAGACATTTATAAACTTAAAAGTGTTTGCCTCTAAGTTTAGTACCCATCTGAACAGTAAGTCCTTAGTTCGTTATTGATTATATTACCTACTCTGCACCCAACATTACCTGTTATAGCCAAGACATGGAATTGTTCATCTGTAGACAAATAGATAAAAAAGTTGTGGGACATATATAAAACTAGTCACTTCTTGTTTGCATTACTACATTTAGTCTTTCTTTTAAAATTTTAAAAACATATACCTGGAGTTGCTTAGGTTTTTCCATAATGTTTAAGAAAATAAATCCTAGTGGATCAGACCTCTTGTTTCATGCCTTTTATTTTACACATTTATTAATTGAGTATCAGCTCTTTGAAAGTCTTCATGTTCACACTGGGGATGTTTCGGCAAAGAAGCCCCTGCCCATGCAATTATAGGTTGTGGGAGAAGCTCTAATTACAAAAGAGAGTGATATATTCTTCACTTCATAAGGGACAAGTGTAAAGGGGAATAAGATGGGTGGAGATAGCATATTACTTACTTTTCATTGCTAAGCAGAACTTTGTCATCTTATGTGTGTGTGTTTTTCTAGAACACTGCATATTTCCTGACATCTCTTATATGTAAAAAAATACTCCAGCTAGATGGATGATAATATCTGAGGTCACAGATAATCATAGTAATAATTGCCTTTCCCTAATGTGAATACGACAGGCACAGTGACAGTTGCTTTCTATCTGTTACATATATCCCACCAGTCCTATAAGGTAGTGCTTGTCAGACTCACTGTACAGTGTAAAGCTCGAGGCTCATAGGGTAATTCACCGGGCTCATAAAGGACAAAGCTGGAAATTGACTCCAAGTCTAAATTACAGTAAGCCCACACTGTTCTTCTCCCACCCTGAGACACACCCTGTGCCTCTTATTTCAATTTTCTTCTCATTACTTCAAAATCTGTTTGAAGTGATAAAAGGAATGGCCCTGTTCCCAAACTACTGGATTGGAAAACATAGCCAGAACAATAAGAATACCATTATAGTTAAGAGGTAGGGATAAATAAATGAAAGAGACAGTGTTCTGTGGCAGTATGATTGTCTACATTTGAAATGTTAGATAACCTCAATAGGTCAGGGGCTTTCAAAATTATCCTGGACAGTCCCTTCCCTGTAGAAAGTAAACCTGTCAGAACAGAAGTTACGTGAAAATCTTCATCTGGCTGATGAAGAGAAAGAATAGTTCAATGCATTCCCCCCCCCCCAGACAAGCCCACCACCTGCTCAGGGACTCCTGCCTTGTGCTACAGTTTACTCCTGGACAGGGACCTATTCTCTGCAAGGCGCGTAAAGTGGAAACTGCTTCAGAATTTGCAGAGATGCGGAATTTACCAGGAAGCCTGTAATCCAAGAGATAGGAACCAAGATGAGGGCCCCAGTAGGGGGGGGGACAGGGGAGACAAACACCCCAGAATATAGGAGGTCACAGGGACACCGGTCCCATGTGCTCTCAAACACAGAGAGCCTCAGAAACCACTGTCAGGCTGAACATACCCCCCCCCCCCCATATTCTGGCTTCTTAGGGGGATAAGAGCCTTGGTCTAAGAGCAGAGTTCTCAGGTCATTAGAGGAAGGAGTATCGGGTTCTCATAGAAATGGCAGTGATAAACCTTAATGAGGATTATGGCAGGGCCCAGCCAGAGCAGTCAGATCCCATAGAGTCCCATCCCAGTGGTCAGCCCTGTGAGGTTCAGTCTTCGGCCCTGTCAGGTTGTTTGTGGCTAAAACTGACTTTCAAATCAGGCCACTGGAAAGTGTTTTTCTGCAGGCCCAGTTCAGCAGAGAGTGGAATCCCAGGAAGGGGGCAGAGTCAAAGTAAACAACTTGAATGAATACAAAATAACCCACAATTGACAGGGCTGCAATTAATCCCTCCTCCACTGTTATCACTGGGAGGCACGGGCAAAAGCGGGCAGGCTCAAGTCCTCCTTGTATTTTGCCTGCAGGGTTTCAAAGAGATGAGAACGATGGTGTACAGACTGGATCATCAGCAGAGAATGAAATCCCAGGCATGACAGTGTCATGGCAAAAATCCTGTATGTGGAATTAGGCAACCAACTGCTCCATAGCAGGTATGTCTTTAGAATGTTCCTATCGGTAGTTGGACCTGGAAGGTCAGAGGCGGAGCTTCCAGGTGAAGGTTAACCCTCATTTTTTAAAAGGGGGTGGTCTTAGGGACTTAACATCCTTGGACTAATGGGGGAGGCCCCATTCAGTAAAGGAAGGGTACCCCGTTTCTAGCAGGATTCAATATGATGACATGGAGTAAGAGTGGGTGTGTATCTCCCAGAAAGAAGGGGGCCACATAGAGCCCTGTACGTGTTGTCAGACTTGAGAACATATCACCTAGTCATGGTGGCGTAATTAGTCAATACTCCTTTTCTCCCAGAAGTCTCCTGGAAGTGAGGAACTTCATCAAAGTGGGCAGCCACAGATTCTCCCACAGATTATATATTATATCGTCTGATGAGGATGTATTACAAAATTATCCTTGCTAAGCAGCATTTTTGGTTATTGCAATTTCTGTGTTTTGGAGTTTGGTAATATGCTCAAGTTCACAGGACTAATAAGTGACAGGGCTGGGAGAAGGCTCCTGCCCTGAATTCCTCTAGAACCCAAACTGTTCATTCTACTCCTGTCTACCTGAAGCAGACTTAGTGTTCCTTAATATTCCAAAATGTACCTCAGGGAATAAAAGTAAGGACTCTGTGCCCAAAGTATTGGGTTGGAATACAGAGCAAAAACAACTAAGAACACCACAGGAAAGTGAAAGTTACGAATAAAGAGGAGAAACATATTCAGTGACAATGTAACTATTTCCATCTGCAGAGTCAGATAACTTCAAAACCAGGGATTCCCAGAGCCCTCCTGACAACTCCTGTCTGTTAGGAGCTAAATCAATTGTAACAGAAGTCAGAAGGCCAACTCTGACTGTTGAAGGAGCAACCAGTGTCATTTTTCTCTAACAGCCCATCCCTATGGTGTGCCCCCTGCCTTATGTTACAGTTTCCCTATCTCACAAGTCTGCCACATGAACCTGCAAGGTTTGCAGTAGGGACACTGCTCAAGAATTTGCAGAAATTGGCATTTCCCAGGAATCTGTTCATCTAGGAGACAGGAGACAAAATGAGGATCCCTGTGAATGAGGACTGGAGAGACAATCACCCCCAAATGTAGGGGGTCATTCAGAAACCTGCCCAAACCTGTTCTCAGACCTAGAATGCCCAGGCAAAGCATTCTGATTGTGCACCCCTTCTTGTACTCATAATTCTCAGTGAGGTGAAGGTCTTGGCCTAAGGAGAGTGGCTTCAGTTTAGGAGAGGGTGGATCCTAGATTGGACAGATATCAAGTTGAGGACACTGAATGAGGGATGTGGGGACCGCTGACTCCAGAACAGTGCTGTTCCATAGAGACTCAGCCTTGCGGTCACCCTCTCAGGACCCAAACATCCCTGGCCTAATGTGGTTCACTCTTCCTTCCATGTGGGAGGTCTCCACAAGGAATGGAACTTGACCTGAGTACAGTAACCTCTGGTCAGGGAGGGTGGAATCCCACAACTTTCTAGGAGCACAGTAAAGTCCCTGAGTGAGGAAAGAGGGGATCACTTGTCCCATACATGAGAGAGCTTTACAAACTCCCACCACAATTCTTAACCGTGAGAAACCCCAGGGGGGAGTTAAAAGGCTGAGAAGCCTCCTCATTTCTGCCTGGTGATCTCAGGGAGAGAAGGGCTTTGTCTAACTGGATGGGGTCCCAGTTCTGCAGAGAGATGCTCACAGAATCCCACTCCTGTTGTCAGGCTTGTGAGGGCAGATATCATAAGCAGTGTGCCCTGTCTACCTCACTGCCTTCTCAGGAACGTGAGGGCTTTGTTTGGGGTCTGGCAGCCTCCAGTTAGTAGAGGTTCCCAGGCTCTGATAGAAACCAAGGTGTAGATCAGCCGTGGGCAAACTACGGCCCGCGGGCCGGATCCGGCCCGTTTGAAATGAATAAAACTAAAAAAAAAAGACCGTACCCT